AGGTTTCATGTCTCCGTACTGCAAGTTGTTGTATGATTATTATTCCTATTTTAGCAATGGTACTAAAACAACGTAGAAGAATAACAATTTTGCTGCAACAAATATCGGTGACAGTGATTAGTGTAGAATTCTATATGTATATCCCGCTTAATAGGTACTAACCCACACAAAACGATATCGTTGCAGTCGTTTAAAATGACAACAAAATAAATGTGCCGATAAGCGTTTTTTTCTTGGAGCAACATAACGTTTTTCAAATGGAACTATCTTAACTTTCAGTACAAAATGTATAATTATAGCTTTATTAACATTTAATTTCCCAAAAAGGGGTCAAACCGCCATGTACCGGAGGAGTATCTTTAAAACACACCGAGACATTAACGGCGATTCCAGCGACGGATTTTCAATTTTAGGAAAGCTAGCAGATTTTTTTTAGTTGTTCTGGAAAGCTGCATTAATCTTCTGGTAGGCATTTAAACCTTAACCTGCTGAAATTTTAGATAGGCTTGTCCCGCTTCCATTTTTTTGAATTGTCCATTATTAATGTAAGGAAATACAAGGTTAGCTTTTAAAAAAGCTAGTAGCGACTCGCTTCGTAATTTTTTTCCAGGGGTGCGTTTAAATGTAAAAATGACAGTTCTGTTAGCTGAAGAGACTTCAGCGAACATCAAAATAAAAGTGACATAAAGTTATGGAAGCCAGTTTCACTCAGTTTAACAAAGAGGAATATGAGTATATATGAAGATGCATGTAAACAGATAGAATGAAGTCCCTATGTCTATGCACATTTACTATATGGCCTTTTGACCTTGACCAAACAAATGTTAGATAGGTAGAATTCATAAAGATGTCTCTTTATACGAAGTTAAGTTGTAATATGATATTTAGTATTAAAATGAGTGACAGACACAAGTCCTAAAGTAAACATAAGTTGTCAATTAATTCAGCCAGAAAAGCCGGGATCCTATTAAAAATATAGGGATCCCGGGAATTAACCAGTCTAAGATGCTTTTCAGAGAAGCCGGGATCCTATTAAAACGTATAGGGATCCAAGGAATTGGCCAGTTCAAGAATATAGTTTTCAGAAAAGCTGGGATCGCATTAAAACATAAAGGGATCCCGGGATTTGACCAATTCAAGAATGTAGTCTTTGAGTTTTCCAATTAATTAGGCATATAATTATTAGTATTGTGATTTTTAAGTTTGTTGATAAATAGCTCTAAATATATTTATATCCAAAGTTTAATTAATTTAATGTTCATTACATACAATAAAAAAACTTAACGTTTAATGGCCTTTCATTACGACAATAATCAACACAAATATAGTTTATAAGTTTTTCCTCTATATCTTATACGATCCCGGATCCCGGCCAGTCCGGTCGTCACGGATCCCGGCCAGTAAATATATACACTAAATACCGGAAAGGATAAAATGACCGGAAACAAGGAAAAAGAAAAAAATGCACAGAACCAGGTGTACACTTATGTTAATTAACCAAACGAAAACTTACTACAGAGAAAACAGGTGAAATCGCTAAATCAAAAGTCAGTGTAAATATGATTTATTGAAAAGAATTCATGAAAACAAACATTTTTAATCATCATAATATCTTTGCGCTCAAAACAATACTTGCTGCTTTTTAAATATGGCGTGAAAATTGAAGGTTTTTTCACGCTATGTAAGATTAAATTTGATTGGCTAAATAATTTTGGATCCTAGCCCTGATAGATAAATTTTTATAGAAAGCTGGAAGCCAAGCTTCGACTAAATTTTTGGATGGATTCGGAGTTTTAGGTTGTTTCTCAGTAAAATCCTAACGTAATACCGGCTCGCCGTGGCGAGCCGGCATGAAGATGAAAAATTAAAGAAAGTCAGCCAACAGCCAACAAAATATAGAGCCTGGTCAGACTGCATGGGTTTGTACGCAGGCCTAGCTCTATACTGGTAACAAAAGCGAACCAATTTCGATGCCGGCAGGGTATTGGTTAAACGACTCCTTTTAATAAATGCATGCAAAAGACTTAAGTATGAAACTTTTATATAACTATCAGTGAACCTAAATTGACTTTATCACTTTAAGGTTAGCAGCGAGTAATATCCTGGTCAGCAAGACAACTGTTTGACAAAGAAGACTCTGGAGGTAGTGCGATAACTCGGTGCAATGCAAAAAGTAATTATAATGTTATGTAATATTATCAGAGTAATTGTAAATAGATGTACAACTGTATGTAGTCCTTAGTTCATTTGTTGGGAAAAATACTTTTTAAAAAGTTTTTTTTTCACCTTGTATTTTTGCAACATTTGGTTCATATTTAGCAACATTAGGTTCATATTTATCATAAAGCCCAGTAATGGTATATATTTCGGATAAAGTGCGCAATCACTTTTAACTAGTGTTCCGTAACTAATGCAAACAAAAAATCAGTTGCTGTTTTGAAAGAGGCTAACAGTGATATGATGTACTTATCCAAAATATAATTACTGTAATACCTAATCAGAAACAACATGTATGCAGTCGTTTAGCAATCAACTCCTAAAGACCTCCTCTGGTAGAATGATTTGATTTGGAATATATACCATGATATCAACAAGTTAATGAAGAAACTTTTATTGATATTCTATGAATTGTTGTATGTCTGCATGAACATTGATCATTCAATTACCCCAACAATACGCAGCCATTCTTCTACCATAAAAGTATATATAATTCAACTAAAAAGATGGAATAACGGTATGATTGTATCAATATTATTACACCAAGTGTTCGCTTGTGATTGATGATATGTGAGGAAATCCCGCCTTTTAGTGCTTGAACATCCATCGCAAGTTTGTATGTGATTTCCTTTTGCATTAGTTACTATACACTAGTTAAAAGTGAATGAACTCAATATTGCTGTTTATTGGTAGTGGATTAAAGCGATCTAAAGAAAATGGAATGGTCTGGAGAAAAAGAAAAAAATAAAGTAAGTGTTTAAGTCTGTGTTAATTGTCATATAATTCTACCTATGGTGACGTAATATATATTTCACTAGCTTCTAAACAGCACACATAGATTTTAATAGACATGTTTGCTTACAACTTACCTTGTTGTATTTATTACATTGATTGGATATTGACTGACCTGATATTTTAAATCGATTTCCCTGATTTGTTAAATTAATTGCCCCGATTTGTAAAATTGATTGCCCTGACATTGTAAATTTTGTTTGCCGTGATTTGTAAAATTAATAGCCCTAATTTGTATTTGAAACAATTAATTAATATCTTAAGGAATATAAGATTTCGTTATACTCAAATTAAGTTTTCAACAGTAAAAAAGTATGGTCAGAATACTCGTTCATATTTTATCATTGTATTTACGTTCATATACGGTTGCCCCTGAGGAGAAAGTTGTCATTTTCGGGGTGGTGTATGATAATCCGTCGCCCCGTTTCAGAGGCGACCTGGTATTATCATGCCCGGTCTAAAACACTGGTATATGGGACCTCGGTTTTTAAGGTACCATTTGAAATACCATTAACATAGTTAATAGGAGAGCGGGGATAGAACCTGCAGTCTCTGGATTACTGGGCCAAGGCAATACCACTGGACCACGGATCGGCTCAAATGCACGAATGGTTAATCTGCCTGGCTTTATACTTTTGGTATGTATGTCTTATAATCCGTATAGTGATAACAAAAATAAATAAATAAATAAATAAAAAAATAAATATATGTCTCAGAACTAGAAGTTTTTAAGCCAGTCAAACATATAACATCTATAGTTTTCTAAAAAATGTGCATAAAGTACTAACAGTTCGACACCTAACAACTATTTGTGGTTATAACTTAATATTTTCATATATATCCTAGGCACCGCAATGTAAACAGTATCCAAAAATTTTGCGCGTTTTTCAAATACTACTTCTGAAGTAGCATCTAAGGTTTTCAATGCTATATAGTAAAAAACTTTGTCCGTTGAGGGTCTGGTATTTCAACATGGTGAACCCCAAAAATACATTAAGAAAAAAAAACGTTAAAGCAAATCGAATTCAACACTTTTAATAACACTTTATGACTCTAACATAATTATTAAAGGCACATTATGCCTAAAAAAATGTTTCCTTCTTTACTGCATGGCCGAGTGGTTAATGCGTTTAATAGTAATCTAAAGTTTGCTGGCCACGCGGAATTAAAACCCTGTTAGGGGCAAGCCGTTGTTTCCGTGAGCAAGAAACATTACACTCATTGCTTAGTACTGGTTGGTTCCAGGAACGGATTCGATAGTGTTTCAAAAAGCTTATAGCTTCCAACACAATCGAACTAAAATAAATTAGTATCAATTTATAAATTATCAATCTTTAAAGTACATAGCGTCGACAGTGCATGATATGCGCCACCGACGAGGGCTGTGCAGCGGAAATATTTTTGGTCTTAGTTGAAATCATCATTTGAAGCCATTATCGGTAGATTTTATAGCCGTCATTAATTATAGTTGATTAGGTATTTCTGGTAGCCTAAAGTCATAAATGTTTGTTACAGATACTTAAGATAGGTTTGCAGACAAACATTATTCGGTGCATGCTAATTATAACTACAACGAATTTTAATTGAATTAAAATGCAAACTTATTGCCTGTTTAGTGGTCGGGTATGCGCATGCGCAGTTACATATTAAAGTTTGCGACTGAAACGTCAACTTTAGTGCAACAAACAGGTATTATTTATAGATAACATGCGACAACGAAATTGATATGCAGCACATTTTATCAGATTAGCTATTAGATGTTTAAGTAAACGTTAAAATTTCCACCGTCGTGCGGCTGTTATCTCTATGTCGTTGAAGTGTTATCTTTCGCTTCAACTAAGGACCACAAAATTTGAACTCTAGTTTAAAAATTTATTCAAACAAGGAATACGTGTCTAAATTGTGAGTTGCTGGTTCATCAATATTGTATTTTTTTTTAAAATGTGTTCATATTTTCTATGAATGAAATAGCAAACAGGAAGATGACTTAGCAAATATATACGTGCAATCTTAGTTTCGTATTACATTTGCTTATCAAAATGTTAAATATCGCCTCGCCTATGAGAAATTTTATTAATTTACAGTTTATTTGTGTGTAAAATGAGGAAAATAATTTTACATTTATATCGTCAAAGTTGAAAATTAAGGAGCACAGGGGTAAGCATTATCAGATATCTTGTGAACACATTAATCCAGATAGTCATTATACTTTAAACTTTGTTCAAACAAAATATTTGCAAAGTATTGTATCTAAGCGATGAGTAATTTCATGATTAAATTTCAGTCTCATGAAGTACTGATTGGGTGTAAAACGGCACGTGTAAAATCAACTACCGTCTTTTTATTGCTATGTAAAATTTAACACAAGCGATAATGTTAGGCAATCGTAAAATGGCTGCGAAGGAATGGTCAGCTGTGTACTGCATACTTTTGGAAGAACCGAATAAATTGCTACCTAGACGAATGTTTGTTTAAATCTGTGCAGTTGTTGACATTGAAGGGGAAGCGTTTAGACACGAAAATTCCATATGTGTAGTACTTGTTTTATACTTTGACAGGATGGGTACGCTTTATTCAATGTCGTAATGTGCCAGGAATCCGACACCGTGCGTAGACAGTGTTGCTCTTTATGGTTTATCATAATGCCTTGAACATTAATTATATCCTGATTAAACGATATATTAACTTTTAATAAGCAAATGACCAACGATAAAACACCAAATTTGAGCATAAACGTATTATTTGTATACGGAGAAAAGTAAAGACTTTCTTTCTGTTTGAACAAAATGTAAATAAAAATGATTTGCAACAAATCCAGAAATTAAAAATTGCAATGAAGTGTAAAGCTGAAATATTTGAATGTTTTCATGTACTTCTATTTTTATTGAAGACTTGCAAAATAAATAAAATAAATCGTGTCATTCCGCTATATCATGCGTCTTATTCAAAATCATATATTAAGCTATTGATAAAGGGAACTATCGAACGTTTAAATGTTTTCTTCAAGGTAATTGTCATTCGCTATGAGGAAAAGCCACAAATTAGCTTCCTTTTAAATTATTTAGATATACCTTCAGCAAAATACGAGCAATAATATCATATTTACATAAGCTATTTCCTTTTATATATGTTTTCAAACTATTACAACGTTGATATAGTGTGAGTGTGGTCATCCTTATAAACTTAAAAGGATGCAGTTCATTACACCACTAATATTTACAATTCATAGTTCGATATGAATATTATTTATGAAAAGGTCAAATGACGTTATATTATAATCAAGTCGATCGATTGCTAATTGTCAATCTTTTCAATAAGTGAGAACTTGATCGTTTGAAACCTGCGCTTGATTTTCATAAAATCTATTAAATTTAATTCAAAATGACTCTGAACAAATTATAATCAATACGTCATCAATATACACGAATGAAAGAACATCGTTTCCGTGAATATCAAATAACGTAAGCATAGGCATGAAGTCATTTATGTTATTAATGTTTCGTAAACATATATGAATATGCAAACACTTTGAAAGAAATAAGTGCAATACTACGGAAAAATGGAAAAAACAGGCATAACTCTTTCTCAAGTCAAGTCAAGTCAAGTCAAATTTCCTTTTTTACAGCATGAATAATTGTGGTTATTTGTTTTAGGAATAAAAACAATCTTAAAAGAGGCTCTTTCAACATATACAATGTTTATATAATCATAGTGATAAAAAGATCGTTAAAGGTATTTGTACTTTTATCATATCCACAGTTCAATTTGCCACAATACAAAACTACAAACTGGTAAATTTCTATTGCAGTTAATTTCCCGGAACCGTTCTCCTTATGATACCTAGTTATGCTTAAACAATGATACCCGGTGACATAACGACTGTCTGTTATACCCTTTCAAAAAAAGGAAGCAGTGTAATTTATTCATCTAATTTATATAAACAATTTCAATCAATTACAATATATCAAGATCGATTAAAGGCACTTTGTGCATAAAACAAATGGCAGGTGTCCTGAGATAGAGTAGGAAGTAGAGTGTACAGTTATTGATTTTGCAAACGTTATGCATAGACTAGATATTATTATTGTATTATTTAAATGTTATTCATGTACATTAACAATATTTACAACCTATTACAAAGCAACAATTTAAAAGTATAACAAAATTACAAAACCCCTATATATTTAAACGTTTTAATTAAAATAAGTGGACAGCTGATAAACGTATTTTATCTTATTTATGCAACACGTAAGTGAAATAAACTGAAGCTAAACAAGGAACGTACACGCTAAATAAAGAGAAAGATAAGGACATTCTATGTATGTTGCACTGTTACCATGTTAGGAGTTATAAAATGTAATCGTTTCGATTTAGGCCGACGCTTTCTGCGAGACAGGTAATTTTACAATTTCCATTTTCGTAAATATCTGTTTGACGCGTTTAACAAAATGTCTGAAGATAACATTTGATAATTTAACTGTTTTGTAACCCAGTTTGTTGTATAGAAACTTAAAATTTAAATTTATCTTTAAAAGGTGTGTTATAAATTGCTTTCTTGATAAGGTCTTAGAGAAATGTATTCTATGAAACCAAGTTATCTCGGATGAAAACCGTCACAAATGATTTTTGCTTATTTGTCATTTTGTAATTTCTTTCACCATTATTAGGAAAGTTAGATGTAGATTTAATAAACATTGTTAATATAAGTATTTATGGAATAATTACATGTAATTTTCGTTTTAACATTATCTCGATAAAATGCACAATGGTTTGAAGTCAGGCACGTAGGAATTTAGTTTTTTCGAAAGATACTCAGAGCAGTTTCATACGATGAAACGTGATATAATTATTTTAATTTTGAACATACCCACGAAACTAAGTAGATAAAAAACCAATGACGGTCTACGTTGAGTGACGGTTTTGACGTCATATTTGCATATTGCTTTAATCACAGCTGATTGTAGTAGAAACATAAAAATGCTTTCTTTATTAATATATGTCTTAAAATGCTAAGTTACAATACACAGCTTGTTAGATTGAGCAATGGTATTTCAGTAACACTTTACCTTTTTAGGTGCATATTTTATAAAAAGCCACACGTGTTGTATTTCAGTTTATATCCATCTAGATTTGTAAATGAAACTATTTGTTAAATGGCCTGTATCAAACAAAGACAGTTTGCTATAAAATCTGCTTACTAGACTAAATTCTTCAACTCCTAAATTTGTAGCTATCCTGACAAGTATGGTTGATGAATATTGCAATCTATTTTTGTCACGTTGCATGGCAAAGTGAAACGGCCACGTTTATGGTTATTTTATGATAACTCAATTAATTTTGGTGTGCTTTCGTATGTTTGCCTTCCCCGCCAGATTTCAAAGATTACCTTTAATGGCATTAATTAGCCACCATAGATAAGTGTTCAAAGATAACCTGACATGTCACTAATAAGCCGCCATAGATAAGTGCTTAAAACGAGTAGCGTAATATACAATTCTTCTGTTGTCCTGGTGCTATCTTTTAAGTTGAAATATTATCTTGGTTCAAAATAGAGGTCCCTCATTTACATGATATTTAATAGACACTAAATGGGATATGAGAAGTTAAGGGCATGTTTTAGTCCCCTGTGTTTTCCTCGTTCTTTCTTTCGGTGGTGTCCCACAAATATTCTCTGGTTGAGTTAAAAAAATTACCCACTTAAAGTTTCGCAAGTATAAGATTTTATAGTGCAAGAAACAAAAAGTATCTTTAAAAAAGATATTCGGACGGAGTAAAACTGCTTTTACTTTCATAAGTTATTTCGGTATATTGACATATATTTAATAATTAGATCTATGAAACACTACAGGATATGTTTCTAAATGAAAATGAGATTGTTTCGGTAAGTTTACCTTGCAATGACGTATTTATGTACACAGTAATATATGCTTTAAATTATTAATATGCAAACATGGAATTATTTATCATTTCAGTGATTAGCCTGTCCATGCTCTGTCTTGTGCCCTATCCTGTTTTTGTTTGGTGTCCGCCTGGTCTCCTTGCAACTGGTTCTTGTTGCTGGGTCGTATGGGGGTTGCATTCATTGAACGCCGCCTTTCCTTGTTGATCTTGTTTATCATATTTTATGGAAAGTATGAACTTTATAGGAATTAAACACATTTGATTTGTAATCATAAAATACCATAAACGCTGAAGATAATCTACTGAGAGTACCAGGAAAGTTCGGGTTTTATTTAGTGCCTTTACAGAGATGTATTTAAATGGAAAGGAAGCTATAACGCCATACACTTAAAATCTGATCCCGCAAATTCACATGGTGGTGAGATTTTTCGAGACCACGTTTGACACGAGGATATTTACCATGTTATCTAAAATTTGTTACGGTAATCGAATTGGTAGTCACGATGTTTTGGACAAAACTTATTGAATGTCATTTATAACTCAGAAAATTCTTATAGTGAATTATGTATTCACTATAAAATAAATGAAATATTTAACACAGTGTAAAATGTTGTAAAATGTTGAAATGAAAGGAAGCCAGCACGGATAGTTTTTCACTTGGATATTTACATTTTAAAGAAAAGGATATGCCAGTCTTGTGATCAGCAGAAAATTTCAGTGAGATGGGGGAGGGTGTCGGGGTGGGTAATCCTCTTTATTGACATTTTATGAAATATTTTGTCCACCAACCAAACAAGATCATTTATATATGTTGGCCATTCTCCTAGAAAAATCACATCTTTAGCATGAATTTTAATTTAGGTTGATCTGCCATTTCTTATATTGTAAGACGATGGGAAATCCATAAGTAGACTGATTATAAATACAGAACGGGACCAGGTTGACACTAGATTGTTGGTAGCTCAGTTTTGGTATTTTATGTTTGAATGGACTGCTCCAAATTCAAAGCAGGGTAAATCAATTACACAAATTCCGCAAGTTAATGAATATAGGAATTTCTCTTTTTATACAGAATTATGGTCCGTGCATTTGAGAGCGATAACACTAGTTAATTTATGGGTAAATGGTTCAATATATTGAAATGGCACATAAGCCACTGTGCAGAAATGTAATGAACCCATTCAATAAAAACAATATTACATTAGTGTAATAAAACTTTAACATGACTTTATTTGCGTTCAATTATGCAAGCATAAAGTTTATAATAGCATTACTCAATAGACGCGACAAATGAAATATGACTCTTCTAGCTGTACACCATTCTAATTTTAGATATGTGATAAATATAATAGTATATTCGTGTAGATTCAATACCTAATTTAATGTACGAGTTGAATAAAATCTTATTATGCGACACTCATTCAATATCCTCTATATCAATAACGTGCATGCATTATTCAAGGAACACCATATTTGTTATTGTAATTCATGATATATACCCTTGATGTTGCAAATTATTCCATTTAAAAATAAACTTGTGCATACGTCATCGTAAAAAAACCCGACTAATTTGGTCCAGTTGATGAGCAGAACTTATCAAATTTAGTTATGAATATTTTATTTCATTTCATATCAAACCCACAACAAATTAACTGAAATGGCGATATAATTCATCTGTAGAATTATTTATGATATGAGATATTGAACTGGAATCAAAGGTATCAGATACTTGTTTTAGCTATAACCCCGATAATTAAATTTTCATCAGGTCATGCACGTGCTTTTGACGTCATTAACTATATTAAACAAACAACTATTAAACCAACATTTTAATACGCATTCTAGCAGCATTCAAGCAAAGGTAGAAAAACGTCCTTTTCAATAATTTTGTGTAGGTATATACATGTACATGCAAATAGTTTGCAAATAATTTTGTGCTCTTTATTCGTAACTCTTTAAAATCGCATACCTTAACAAACATGCAATAATACACAATCAGGTGGCTACTGTTGAATTTTTCAGCCGATAATTTCCAGTGTGAAAATGAATTATATGCTTTCGTTGGAGTAAAATGTAAAAATGTAACACATCCTTTAAATGATTAAGGACGTATGCATGTATTTGAGTTTCTCTGAACTCGACACCGGTTGCTTATATGTGCGAGTCTTCTAGAGGAATAAAGTCGTGTTTGATTTTAGAGGATTTTGCAAGATACTGATACAGAAAGATGCCCCAATTCCAGAAGATCCTGCTGGTTCTTTAGCGTGCTCAGTAATTTAAGTGATTAGTAGTTCTATTTGACAAGCCCGGGAATCGAACCCACAATGTCGAGATTACAAGTCTCGCGCTCTAACCAATCGATTAAGGACCCTATAGTAATGAGAATATATACGAGCAATCATAATGGCGTCACGGTTGAAGACACTCTATTAACATTTAGCGACATTATCAATAATAGCTAGATGGCACCCAGGTCATTATTGAGGAATGCTTTAAAAATCACGGAGCTATACAATACAGTAATCATTCACCATTGTATTGTCATGTTTTTGCCTAATCTCAAATACTCAACACAAAACAATTTACGAGGTTGACATCGTATCTTTGCCTTTGTCCTATTTTCCTTTTCCGTCCTTTTGTTCACTTTCCGTTTTACCTTTAAATGTTAAATTAATTTCATTGAGATTATATTTTAAGAAGTGTTTATTAGATGATTATATATAATATAATCTCACAGACATGAGGACAGTTTAAATACATGTGTGTTTATTATCAATACCAGTTTGATGAATAACAAATCATATCATCCAGTAAGGCCTAATATTTGAGCTTTAACTTTAGTTTTCTTCAGTATGGTAGAGTAGCAGTTACTGGATTCATTTCATAAGAAAAGCATCATTTACGGTTGTTACAATACTAAATATAAATAATATATTGATTAATTCTGTTAAAACAAGTAACAAAGTGCAGTATATTATTTGTCGCATTAAATTTTTATACTAAGTGACAAAAATTACTGGAAAGTTACTTTTTTCTATCCAAATAATAGATCTGTAATCGAAATATTATGCAAATTAACCGATAATTACACAATTATCCCCTCATGTAATGATTACAATTCAATATACATTGTAATTTTTTTTAAAATTAATTGAATAACTTCAAAAAGTTTAACAAATTGTTATTAATTGTAATTTATAACGATTACATGTAAACGATCGATATCTCTATGTCTCTTATGTATCGATATTTTACCAGTTACTTTTAACAAACAGTAAAATTAACTTTTATAATATTTTACAGGACATGCGGTAAGCAGTTTTGCAGAATGCCATAACTGGAGGTCTTTCGTGGTTATAGCCAGGAAGAGTGTTTCAGAAACTAGCTTTTAGTGAATTGGCACATTTGTACCTCTAAATAATAGAAATCATGAGGCATTTAAGAGAAGAAGAGCTGTCAAATTGAGAACACTAATGCATTGTCTAATAGAAAAGACGAGGTAAATTATTTTCAATTTAATGTGATTTAAATAGAAAACTCTAGGCTATTGTGGCTGAAATGAACTTCATGAAATTCTGCTCGAAGGTTTTGCATTTAATGGCTGCAAAGAGTTTTCAATAATAAATAAGCTTGAAATGGAGTTTAAAAGCAAAATTAAACTATGTTTGAACAAACGGACAGCGGCGTTGAAGCAGTGAAATATTTTAGTATTACATTAGTACTGTGTTTTAGATAGAGTATAGTGCGAGCGGTGAAAAATTCATTCAATATGGGCTTTAACAAAATGCAGAAACAGTTTATTTTCCTGATAGGGATATTTGTATTTTTAACACTCCTATTGAATATGATACCGCTTTACCACGAGAACAAATTATTGAATTCTATGTCAGTGCCATTCAATGTAGTGCGGCAAAATCACACGTATTTAACTAGAAGTGTTGTAAAGAAAGCGGGAAGAGACATTTGGAAAATAATTCCAGGACAGGACAGTATTGTTGAACAAGTGGCTTTTAATCCAAAAATTAATCCAGACCTTCCGCCAAAGAAGATTTTAATGTGGAATGGAGTTTCAGGATGGGGACAAAAAGAGGGGAAAGCGTCGTTTCATGAACATAATTGTAATGTGAAAAATTGCGAATTTGTGAGTTCTCCAAAGCCGAATGAAATCTATGATGCTAGAATGTTTAAAGAAATTGATCTTAATAGCCTTATGGTCACAAGCATGTTTCAGGACACTGTTCGAACTCCGGAGCAAGTTTGGATTATGTTCGCACTGGAAAGTCCCGAGGCTTCTCCAAACTATGAAGGATTAAATAATGTTATAAATTGGACCGCCACATATAGACATCAGTCAACAATAGTGACCCCATACGATAAATGGGTGCCGTTTGATAATGCTTCTACTATTCTTGCTCACACAAAGCCAAACGACTATGCAAAAGGCAAAACAAAACTTGGAGCTATTTTTGTTTCTAATTGTGATGCATCAAATAATAGATTGCAATATCTAAGGGAACTAAAGAAGTATATGACTGTGGATATATACGGCTACTGTGGTGACAAAGAATGTACTAAAACGTCACAAAATTCGTGTTTTGAAATGCTTAAAAAAGATTACAAATTCTATTTTGCATTTGAAAATGCAAATTGCAGAGACTACATAACAGAAAAGTTCTTCATGAATGCTCTCCGGTAGGTACCTCGATTTTCTTGTTTATTTCTTAAAAAAACAAATAAAAGAATTTTAGTGCAAAAAACAAGCTTTGAATAATCACAATTTGAACCTACCCCGTCAAAATAAAAATAAAATGCTTAATCTGATCTTTTTCTATAGCAAAGTCTGAAAAAAATGCCAAATTACATCTGATTTACCTAAGAAAAGTTATGTGTATTGTAAGATTTAACCCTAAGCTTGCTGACGGCAACAGATTCTTATACGACCAATGCAGACCATTATCAGACATCCCTGCCGTCTGATCATGATCTGCACTGTTGGCTATACAGGCAGTACATATTTAAAAATATTCCTAATGATAAAAAGTTTTGTAAAAAATAAAAGATGGGCATGTCCATTTAAGATATTTATTATGGTTAAATTAGTTTTGCACTGCTATGCCAATATTTTTCTCATCAAATAACTTAACCAACAGTTTACAAAACTAACTCAAGTATATGTTAAACTTGCAATTTCAATATCATATTCTTTTTAAAAAATATTATGCAAGAAACACATTTCATCAGGTAGAATATTACAGTGATATAGAAGATAAGCAAACAAAGAATTGAATTCTTCTTTTATAATATGGTTTATTTGAGCCTAATATATATTTCAAAGATTAATGCCCGAACACAATTTGATTAACCGAAATAGTTGAAAACATTTAAGGCCTTGTAATGTTGAATGTTTCCAATTTGTTAGGAATAATTCTTTTGTAAAACCTACAGAAAGATTATTAAAATACATTATAGCAATATATCATATGCACACTTTTCTGACAGGCGTACGCAGAGACTTGATAATTACTCAAAAATCTTGATATAAAGAACAATAATTTCTTGATATAGAGAACGAAAGTTTAACTAAAATTACACAATTTTAGTCCATGAAAGCATCTAAGTTGCATTTACCTTTTGACATTTTTAATCAGAAAAAAATTCTAATAAGAAATTATATTGATTAAATCTTTAATTCCTTTTGTCTGAATACACTTGCAGTTGAATTCTAACTTCTCATTATTGATATTCAAAGCAGACATTTTATTAAAGTAAAAGAAAAAAAATCAAAAAATTATGTGTCAATTAAAAAAGCAACAAAAACTAGAATTAGTTTTGAAATAATGCTAAAAATGATTGCAAATGGTATAAATTCGCTACTTTGCTGCATGACTATTCTTGTGCGAAACAATATGCTTTCAAATTGGTAAAGTTCTTGAATAATACATCTCTGGATAAGTTACGCTGCATTAAACATTTACAATAAAATAACACCATTTATTTGGGAAAGAAATTGGATTTTTCCCTTCTCCTTGTAATTACGTTCAAGATGCCGTGTTTCCGTGATAAAAATCGCAGTTTCTGTGTCTCTTTTATCATAATTCCCAGACTGTTTGACTCAAAAGAAACCGATAGCAAAATTTGTAAATCTTCTTTTTTATTCTACAGCCATGATGTACTTCCTGTGGTGATGGGAGCGCATCCTGACGATTATAAACGCATGGCTCCCCCAGGATCTTATATACATGTAGAAGACTTCAAAGGTCCCGAAGAACTTGCAAATTATTTATTGAAGCTGGCAGCAGACGATACCGAATATAATAAATACTTCCGTTGGAAAGAAACAGGGTCATTTATTGATACCAAATTTTGGTGCCGTATTTGCTCAATGCTATGGGATCCAAATCGACCAAGACTTTCAGTTTCTAATTTAAATGAGTGGTGGAGAGGAGATGGTACGTGCATTGGTACCAGGAGATGGGACAGTGTTGGTAACACGTAATGTTTGAAATCCATCTTTATTCGGTGCTCGTCAATAAAAACAAATAAAAAGTGCTCATCTAATAAGTATTGGATTAGTATCAAATGAAGAATAATAAAGAAAAGAAAAATTATGAAAAGAACAGATTACGTTCTTGCACATTCAAATGAAATTTTCTTCTTCATATTTTTATGTATCAATTTTTTAAGGTTGTGGTTTATTAAAACGTTGTTTTCCAGACACCAGCTTGATAATTGTGATTTCTTTATTTTATTGAATTTTTGCATATTGCAATTTGATTATTTCTTAAAACATTTTCTTCATGATGATAATGTATATTCATAATAGACAATTTACGTGCCTTACTGATGTTTTATAATTCATATCAAAACGTAGATAGTAATAATTATCTCATAAATTAATGGTTGATGATTTTCTAATTTTATCATATTCCACGGTTTTTACTTTCATTTCATGTGTTCAAACCAATATGATTTATTTTAAAGTTTTTTTCATATAGTATTGTCTTTCAAAGATAAATCAACAGATTTATGTTTGTAAAATATAAAATTGTATTTGTTTAGTCATACTTATATAAATTTACATGGATATATTTGTCTATACTTAGTAATTCAGAATGTAATTCCATTTAGGAATTGTTCTGTTATTATCTTTTCTTAAAGTAAAGCTTGAATTCATTTATATACAAATTATGCAATTTTTAATAATCTTTGTTTATTTGTTTAAATAAGATTTTCTTGTTATCACACGTTTATTTTTTACACAACTAACATAATAAATTTTTCTGTCAAGTCTTTAAATAGTACCTTCACATCAATTGTCTTCGGATTATTATGCCCTCAGCCCTAAGCCATAATAATGTCAAGATTTTTGTTCGTGCATGCTTGTGTGTGTGTGTGTGTGTGTGTGCGTGTGTGTGTTGGTGCGTGTGCGTGTGCGTGCGCGTGTGTGTTCAAAAACCATGTCCGGCCTATAACTCTGTCATTCATCTAGAAATTATATCCAGACCTACATAATATTTTACATAAATTTGGGAAAAGAACTCAGAGCCCTTTTTGTCATGAAACGTTTGTCGAGTCCAATTAAGCACCATACGAATAAATTGAACATCTTCTCTTTAATCCTTTCTGGCGAAATATGTTTTATTATCAATTTGATCTGTTTCAAATTTGGACCAATCCATTCAAAGTTTACGGGATTATTTCATTATACATAAAAATAAAGTACTCTTTTAAGAGACGGTGACTTATGTAACGAGGCACTAAGCGGTAGTTATATTGTTAATACACACAAACATTGCGCAGACGTTTACAAACTGAATTTTTTTTTTAAACAAGGACAATTTTCATATTAAAAGAACGTGAGTTGTCGTGAGATAATCATTTAGTTGTAGTTAAAACAAAAACCGGCAACTTATATTAGCACGGCATGAGAAATAGTTGATATTCTATAAATACTTGACTCGGAAAGATATTCAAAAAAGTTGCAAAATTTTCTATACTTTGCTTTTAACGACACGCATATACAATATTTAAAATGTTTGCGGCACCGTTAAAAGCCTTCCTGATAATACTAAATCAAAATAGCACAGCTTTGCTTGAAACCTGATCCGGGGGATCCAATTATGATTTAAATAATTGAACACTCTGTAGAGAAACTAATAGCTTTTCACAGATCATGTCCTATTTCTATTGATGATTCTCTACTGCCGATGAAAGGTTTGCTCTCCCAAAATGTCAATATCGGAATGTGGAAGACAGATTATAGAAAGATATTACTATGTGAATACCACATTCCTTTCCGGTGACATTAAAATTGTTTAAAATACGTCTATTCTAACAGTTCATATGGGTTACATACTAGAACTTTCTTTCCTGCAACAAACATTATGAAGAATACTATGTGTTTGTTAAACACACCATTATTTGTTCATTCAGAAATTACCAACCTTCTGTTTTGGTCTAAAAGTTGTAAATTGATAAAAAAAAACTTTACATACATGTAATTGGATACAAACTATAACATGTATTTACAAGAAATCTGTAATTGTGGTATTAATAGAAAACACTTATTGCTAAATATATCTTTGTATCTTGTTTGTTTCAAATATATCAATTGATATTATTCGAGTTCAGATTTTACCTCGCGATTTCTGTTGAATTATTTGTTTCTCATATATTTCCTCATAGACTTTCAACTATCATTTAATGTACCGGTTGCAAAGTTCTACATACTTCACACTATTACCGGATTTGTTGTTGACTGATATGTAAGGATTGTTGCAATTGCAAATACAAAAAGGAAAAGGAAAATCAATGTAAAAGTCAAATATGCCACGGAAAATACAATCTGTGTATGGCTTTTTAAAACATTGAAATATATTGATAATTAGATAAGATTTTTTTTGCATTTTTAAAGCGTGTAAAATTATGGGCTGCATTTGCAAAATAACAAACAACACTGTTATAACAAAAAATGGCTTGGCAAAAAGAAACCGGCGACAATTATTCAAAAAAAGGTCGATAGAATAATAATTTTCATTTTTAATTATCTTATTTTATTCATTTGTATCATCAAATTATCAACTTCGTGATAAAATTCATTTAATGTTACTTAAAAAATAACATCACTATTTGAATCAAATAATAATTGCAAAACACGAAGTAAGTAGAAGTTTGTTAATCAATAATACATTTGATTTTAATAGTTTTTGAACCATTCTCGTGCTTATAATGGTTAACGTTTCATTTAATACAAATATATTTTTAGAAGAATAGACTACAATATTTAAACAATCGCTGAAGTCATGAGTGTGACATTGAAACATATATAATAGCCATGTTATAAAGGAAATGTAATTAAAACACTACTTATTTTATATTCTTAGATTTCTTGCAAGTTTCTTTTCAACAATTTTATTTGCATTTTTTACAGTTTTTATTTAAGGGCAGATATTAGCTGCGTATCAACAGTTCTGACAATTTAATAAAATTTGTATATAAATTACATTAGACTTGTTAACGTTTTGAAAATGTTCTTAAAGAAATAATATACAGTTTCTACAATTGTATCATGTACGTTTCACAATTACATAAAAATTTATATGTACAGTTTGACAATCACGCTGTGTTTTAGTTTTACAGGCACTTTCAATCTCATTGATGAATACAATTTTTATTCGTAAGAAAGTGCAAATATGTCTTTTAAAATGTTTAATAATGGATTCAGAGAATAAAGAATGCTTATTACCTTAATAAAATAGCGCTGAAAGAGAACTAATTTTTCAATTTGTAATTTGCAGTGACATTATGAGTTTATGACTCCCATACAAATTAAGACACTATAACTGTACTTAGTACACAAAGGTGAAAGAATACGGTTCAGCTATATGGACAATATTATTACTCTTTTATGGAAACATGGTACGATACTAAAATTGAAAGATTTTGAGAAATAAAAAAGCTAAATGGGCCTTCAAGCTTGCGTCAATGGTGCATCGGGCCTTGTTTTAACGTGGTTGTTTAAATTTTTTTGTACAATACATGCAATACCTTGCATTAGTTTTGTATTTTTTATGTTATTCCTTGCATCACATAACATATTAATAGGTTTTTTTGCAATTCTAAATACTATGTTAAGTTAAAAACATCAGAGACATGTTTCTTAGTTTGAAATGCGATAAACTTCAATTCATTCAAGTCATATTGACTTTTGTCATTGCCATCTTAATCGTTTTCTTTTGACGTCTTGGTTTTTAAATCGGTTTTAAAATTATCCAAAATGTTGAATCGACTTAGATTTATAATAGTGTTTACAATCAGATTATGTATTGTTGATGCCCTTTTCAAATGATCTTTGTGTCATCGAAAAGTAATAATAACACGCATTCTAACAGATATGACCGTCGAGTGCATTATTACACGATATATGCACGGCTTTAAAAAAAGGACTGCTTTCACGTCAAATGACGTCATATTTGACGTGGCCAAAAAAATTACTTCCACGCACAATGTAGTTCAACATATTTTTCAACAATTCTCTTTTTATAAGCATGTTAGAATGGAAATAGGTACGCATTTCTCGAGCATTGTAGTATACTTATAATTCACGGTTTATCGTTCAAATGCCTTCACCATTCTAGATATCTTTTTTTCTAAGTAAATAATGTAGAACTTGAAATATGTTTTAATTTTGTTGTACGCACGCGAGTAAGACTTACGAGTATATTGATAGAAAAGTCCTTAATATATCTGTGAAAACTGCAAATGTTGCGTTAATGAAAATTTCAAAACTGTATAAAACAACTTTAATAAAATGAAGATCCGATATTTGTAAAATTGTCTAAACTGTAAATAAGAGACTAAAATAGTCATCAATGGTGTGCAACCCACCCTGATGTTAAAGTCAAAATAAAACAAAACAAAACCTGTAAATAGATCTCTATAGAGTTGTGGCAAACAATCAACTAACATAACTAAGTACATTTTGTCACAAGCATAATTTTAGCATTTTTTTATATATTAACTAAAAGTGCTCTTTCTTTTATCATGTGATACTTTGTTGATGCTAAAAGCATTGTATTATATTGACAGCTATAAAGAGTTTGAACTTGAACTTGAAAACAATTGTCTTTATTTGATGTCTTTAATACTGTTTCGGGTTCTATTTTTGTTTTGAGTAAATACTCAACTAATTATTCAAACGCGCACGTGAATGATTTCAATATTAAACTGTTAACCTAGATTATAATTATTATAAATCAAAATTAATTATTTTATATAATTTTTCTTACATAATATTTTGTATTCCAATGGTGTTTTTAAAACACGTTAAACATAATTTAATCAATTTTATCACAAAGTTGTTAAATGGACGATAAGATAAGACGTAGTAAATTATTTGAATAATAAAAAAACACCAGCAACAATATATAAAACAGCAACAAAATACACATACAAACAACATGACTGTCCTAATTCTTTCTATAGTTTCTTAATCAAATTTTAATTGCAATTTTGCGTGGGATAAAAACAAGGAGATAATTAGCAAATTAGTACGGGAGATGAAATAGGAAAATTAATTAGAATCATTAAAGCGACTCATTTTGCAAATTATTATTTCTGTCGATTAAAGATTTCATTTCAATATTAAGACAAATGATATTAACTGAAATGAAAATCATTAGTCTAATCAACTGCACGAGCGGTTCAAACCAAATTCAAAGCAAATTTAATGACTTCACTTATTAGTTTGGGTAATCACAAGTGAGAAGAGCGAGAATTGTATAAGATTGCCTTACTTAAAATCTTTTTATCTCTTGTTCTTGATACAAACCATAATATAATAAATAATAAAATAATGTTTTAATTTGAAAAGGAATACATTTCAAAAGTAAATGTAAAAATACCATATTCCTGCTTTTTTAATTAATAAGGAGTCATTTTTCTTCTTATTTCATATCTAAACTGCTAGTACCGTACATATTAGTTGTTCTCTTACCAAGTCGTCACTTGAAATACTTTTCATTCAGGAACAAATTTACCAACGATTGAATATAATTACCGGGCTTGTCATGATTGTTATTTTAATCTAATTCTCTTAGATAAAACTTTCTGTAATTGGTATCACTATTTCTAATTTTGAAGAGAATTAATGTCTATTTTAATGCTGTACATTTAATACATTCATTAAATTATGACGTTATAAAATGAATGCAAAATTTATAATTATATTGTTTGGTGTTTCTATTAACACGTATGTTTCCTGTGTATGACATATCTAATACAAATTTATAAGACAATTGATAACCCTAGGTCTGACATCATACTTTTAAAACACATTCTGAAATAATAACCTGTATTCATATGTAGGTATAAAAGTCCTTTTCATGCTAAATCTTTAACATAAATCCTGT